GTCTAACACCGCATGCCACCTTCTGCTTGTTGTCGAACCACTCTACCTTAGGATGACCACACCCATGTTACTGGAGCATAGCCATTATCACAAAGTATACAACCTCAAGTCTGCACCTTGCCAGATAGTGGCATAACCTCCCTATCGAAAATCTACACCTTCTCAACCTGGAGATGCAAGGTTGAGTTCAGAAAGACTCACCCATCACGGACACTATCCGGATACGTGACGAACACATCGACCATAAGCTCTCCAGCTCTACGACTGAATACCACTCCTTTCAGTCCAATAAGTTCTCTGAAGGTGTGTTTGCAAGCTTGTATACATAGTTGTTGGTGTAGTCGATAGCACCCATTGCAAGCAATTAGGAAAATCCCTTATCAGCAAACGTTTCGTGACTTGCAGCCTACTTGCAGCCTCCTGCGCCCAGTTGGAAAGGCTATCTTCATGTCTCTCACAGCATACACCGCCCTAGACTGGCCAACCGAGCTATCTTTTGAAAGCAGCCGAACAGCTTTCATATGTCTCTCTTGTCAACCACCCGTAACATACGATCGGATTGCAAAGGGTGGCAGTAGTGCATCACCTGCTTTTCCAGGTACAGGGGCGTGGCTGTGACGAACTGTTTTCTGCAACCGCGCGACTTTCTGCGCAAGGCTACTTCGGGGGTTGAATCGGGATGACCCGTTGGATTGCATGGATGCCCTTGCTTTTCTCGTTTTTGGAATTGAGGTTGGCATGGTCCCACGGCGGTTGATAGTGATCGCGCCTTAGCGAGCGCGGAAGATAACTGTTGCCATAGCTTCTTTCTTGTTCTGCTGTGGGAAATGGGAATTTTGGCGTGATCGTCGCGCGGGAAAATCTTTTTGAATTTTCAACTGATGTCGAGTCCCCGCGGGCTCTCGGAATTTTCTTCTCTCGAAATTTCTTTTTGCAGTTAAGACTTAGACTAGGAATTTAGGTGCGTCGTGATTCTGTCGACAACTGCCCGGCGCTTCTTGCTTGTGCGCGCTTTGCCGCGTCAGGGCCTGTGCTCTGGCCTCCCCGCGCCTTAATCTTGCATGTAACCGTAATTCTCTTCTTGGCAAGCGCAAATGTAACAGTAATCTTCTCTTTCTTGATATCTTCGGCGCACCTCCCTCTGCGCGCGCATATTCTTCCCAATCCTATTGGCTTAAGCGATGCATGACTGGATCGATGCCTGGAGTGCGGCTACGTCCCCCAAGCCGCGGCCTGGCCATGCAATCGTAGGCACTTCCTTCCTCCTCCTTCCTTCCCACTCAGGCACAATCCCGAGTATCTCGCGCAAATGCACATGCTATAAATTTTGCAAGCACGATTAACTCCATCTCTATGAATTTTTGGAGTTAGTGCGGTCGAGAGGATCGACTAACGAGCAAGTATCGAAAGGTGAGTAGAGAGTTGGGCGATCCGATGGGCTGGTGCTGGATATGCGGGGTTGACGTGTGGTCGCGACGGACTATGGCACACGGGCGAACCTGGCTTGCATGTTCCGGCTAAGCGGGGCAACAACTCTGTGTGGGTGCGTGGCGACAGATTGCCCACATCGGGATGTTGTGAAGAGAGAGAGAGAGAGAGAGAGAGAGAGAGAGAGAGAGAGAGAGAGAGAGAGAGAGAGAGAGAGAGAGAGAGAGAGAGA